ACCATAAGACACCATATGCACAGACAATGAACTTTGTACACAAGTATATAAGGCATATCTAAGAATCTAAAATCTAATGACTATAATAGTTATAAAACTATCTCACAATAAAGGACCCAAACCCCAAGGTAACCAATCAAATAACCCCTTAGAATATGAAATGTTATTAACTTGATCTTGTAAATTATGTATAGCATCAAAGATAACATTAGATAAGGTAAGACTTAGGCCTAACAAACTAGCTTGTAGAAGTCCAGACCAGCCCCCATCACGGAGGGTAGCAGAAGGCAGGGTGATAGAGAAATTATCTTATATTGAGAAGTTGCTTGATGTTTTTGAGACCAAATTTTTGGCCATTTATAGTCCAGGTTATAGGTCTCACTGGTGCAGAGCAGTTGGTCCAGCAGTGCAGGGTCAAAGGTTGTGCTATGGAGACGTTAGTTGGTGTGTAGGTCTGCAGCAGACATGGAAGTGCAGCATAGCAATAGCGAACACAGCAGGAATATCTATTTACGCAAAGAAACAGAATTTTTAGGAACATGATATAACTGTTTATTTTTTGGATATATAACTATGAGTGTTGTAGTGGGCCCTTGGACCACTATTTTTGCAGCACGGGAAGCTGCATTGGGCGGATGTGTCACCCACACTTTAGCTCTAGATTTTTATCTATTTGTAGACCTAAATCTTTGCATTTTTTTTTTTAGTTAATTTATTTGGAGGTTGTCCTTGTGACAGACACATTTGGAGTCAGGAGGGGAAGCACCAATAATTGTCCCACTCGTTCCCCAGACTCTACAGTTAGTACTGTGTCACTATCATTATATAATATAAATTTTATTTTTTTTTGGTAATCTGGATCAATGACTCCTCCTAGTACATCAATACCTTTTGTTGCTAGTCTAGAGCGTCCTTTTAATAAACCAAAGGTGTTTTTAGGAAATTGTATCCTTATCCCAGTAGGGACTGTAGACTGCTTCTTAGGGGGCAATTGAATAGAATAAACAGTAGATAAATCTAATCTAGGCGCTTCGGCTGTGGCACAAAAAGGCAGTTTAGCAGATTGAGTCAAGGGCCAATAGGTTAAGGTCATAAACTCATGGGTGGCAGTTGTCACTTTTGTAATCTTTGCTGGTAATAACCTTGACTGAGGAGCAGTACTTAGATGGTTGTGCCACCCCTTTAATGAGCCATGACTGAGTTTTTTCAATTGTTATTTAAGCAATCTATTTATTTGTTTTATGAGGCCTGCAGCTTGGGGGTAATAAGGTATATGATAAATCTATTTTATATAATTTTTTTTGGTATAAGTTTGAATCAACTTACCTGTAAAGTGGAAACCATTGTCACTCTGAATTTCTCTTGGTGTTTTATAATATAACTTAATTGTATCTAATAATTTTATGGCACTCTGTTGGGTGGCCACTTTAGCTGGCATAGCAAATAAATAACTAGAATATGTATCAACAGCAGTGCAGGCATAAGTATATCTATAAGAATTTGGCAATGGTTCAATAAAATCTATTTGCCATGTATGGGCGGGAAATAATCCCTTTTGGATATGACCTTGGTAGGGGTGTGGAACTCCCCATTTATTTAACCGTTGGCATAACTGACATTGTTGTACTGCAGTGGCAATATCATCATGGGTGACAAGGATTTCCCTTTGTTGTGCCCACCTGTATGAAGTTTGTTCTCCCAAGTGTCCACTCTTTTTGTGGACCCACTGTGCTAAGCCTGGGTTGTGCGTTGCATGACTTTGCACCAGCTGATCAGCATAAGAGTTATATTTTTGTTCTGCAGAAATTAAAGAACTGTGAGCATCAACATGAAATATAGTAACAATTGTATTTTGGCATCATAATCATATGTCTTTTTGTAATTTCTTTTTAAGTTAAAAAAACTTTAATTTTGGCAGAAGTTTATCAAAAATATCAAAAGATTTTAAAACACTTGGTCAAATAGGAAATAATGCCTAGTTATTTATTTAATCAAGTTGATAACAAAAATAGTGAAAGGCAAACAGAGAGTTAAAACAGTCAAAAAACAAAAAGAAAAACTTTAATGGAGAGACTTTAGTCCTTTTATAGGAAATTATTTTAACAAAACGCAGGTGTTTCGTCTTTTACATAGGCTTATTTAAAAGAACACCTTTTAATCTCTATATAAAGAGCAGACTAAAAGTTTAAGAAAATTATCTTTATAAGAGAGAAAGTCAAATTTTAATTTTATATCAGCTTATTTTAGCCAACTTGATCATGTGCAAAACTCTTCAGGGCTTTACTTTTATAAACCTTTTGTCACTTATTTTTTACATTTAGAATTTGTCCCATGCTTTTTTCTTTTTTTTAGTACTTTAGGACAAATTTATCTTTTTTAATAAAACAAACAAAAATATCTCTATTTTTTATATCTTTTTTATGGACAACATATATTTTGCTTTTTGTATATAGACTTTCTAGAAATGTGTACTTTTTCACAGAAAATTTTTCAACATGCACATAACATGTTTATCAATAAACGTAAGAATCTTTTAGTTTTTTTTTTTTTTAAGATAAGAAACCATAGGCAGACAAATCTATGCTTAGTAACCAATTTTTAATGTTTTATCTTATGTGGAAATGACCCAGAGACTCAATAAATTTTTATCAACTTAATTTAGCAAAACTCTAAAGCTTTAAGTTACCAAAAAGATTTTGGAAGCTGTTTTTGAAATAACTTTGTCTTTTAGAAGTCTCTGTGTATTAATTAAAGATTGTATTTTATCATGAGAGGTTTTGAAGCCTCTCTTTTAAGGGTGACCTTTAAGGTGAACTCATCTGAAACAGATTTTCTAGAATAGCCATCTCAATTTCAAATTATTTTAAAAGTTTACTTATTTTTACTTGTTTAATTTTAGATCAGGAATTCCGGGGGAGTTGAAGCGGGAAGCTCAGCAAGAGAGGGGAGAGGAGCAGCAGATTTAGCTTCGGCTGCTGGCATGTTTAATTATTTAATTATTCTTTCTTAAAGAGGCAATATAGTGTTTTTGATTTTATTTAAAAACCTCAAAGGATTAAAATAGGCTTCCCACTAGTTGTTTAACTTTTAGTTGGCTTTTTCTAATTGTATAAGCAAATACATCAGTTTTGGTAAACTGAAATTGCCCCATTTTGGCCACTTTTCCTTTCTGGAGTCTATGGAATATTGTGGCCATGTGGTGTTACAAGAAAAAATTATCTTCTTTTTGGACATGGGCTCTTAGCTGAATATAGCCCATTTAGCCAAGAGGTGGCCCAGAGGGCTCTCCTTGGGGACAGATGGAACTTCTCCCCTTTAAAATTATAAACATATAGAACAGACAGTTAAACGGGATCTCAAACAGAACAGAAAAATGCATCTAACAGATTCTGGGTAAAAGTCCTACAATTATTCTCACTCTAGTAGGGATAGCCCTGCCTCTTAAACAGACAGGACTCCAGATGAAGGGGAAGGGAGTTCTTGGTGTAAGCAAAAACAAACAAATAGACAAACAAACAAATAATTTTAGAGCCTGTTTCCCTGTCATAAGAAAAATGTGCCCAGGGTCAGCGGTGCCAGGTCAGATGGAAAGCACTGGGAGCAGTCCCTAGGGCAAATCACCTAGGCAGCTGCTGGACTGTTTCCCAGGACATCCCACCCGGCCCAGGGCCACCGAGCCACAGACAAAGAGCCTCCCGACTGGCTTGCCCAATTATTATTGGATATATATTTAGGCTCTCTATTTGTCACTTAAGAGGGGGCAAATAAAACTAGAATGCCAGGCTCACAGCAAGGAAAGAGTTTTTATTTTGGGTGACATCAGCCGGGACTGTAAATTTGAAGCTTCTTTTTCTAAGAGTACCTTCTCCCTTGTATTTTATCCCTATCATCTATAGCCCGACGATAAACAGTCAATAAACATTAACCTCGCCATGCCAGAAAAGAAACATCATCTCTTTTTTTTCTACCGTCTGCAAAGCTTTGGTCAGATCCAACGGTTCAAATCGTCGCAGACGAGCATCCCAAGCTTCACATAACCCTGACCTATGAGCCCACTCCCCAGCCAGAGTGCAAAAGGGAGGGTCCTCCCATCCTGGAATTTCTTCCACCTTGGCTTCAGTTACCTTTCGTTTGAATAGGAAAGGCATCTCCTTAATCAAATCCTGCTCACAGCGCCAATTATGTTATGAGAGGTTCGGGGATTCGATCAGAGATGTAAAAGACACTTTTCACTCTAAACAAATGGACTGAAGGTATATTTTATTATATAGAGGATAGTAAAGGCGATAGTCCGCAAACAGATCCGAATAGGTCAAATAATAAGAGGGAAAAAACACCAGCTCCACTGGAAAGGGAAAACATCCACATCGGCTGAGATAGCAGCAGATCCGAATAGGTCATATAATAAGAGGGAAAAACATCAGATCGATCGGAAAGGGAAACACCAGATTGACTGAAGGGAAATGACACAAATCAACCGGAAAGAGAAACACCAGGTTGACCGAAAAGAGAACACATCAGATCAATTACTTCATATCAAATCAATTATTTCACATCAAATCAATTACTCACAATATCCACGCCCCACTGCCCGGAGAGTCTTGTCAATCGACACGGCTGGGCAAGGATCACACGTCCTGGGCAAGGTGTCCCTTTCACAGGTGGAACTCTCACCAGGTCTCAGTCTCCAGCAGTTTATATAAGCAGTTACAGAGTTTGCAGAGCAAGCATCTAGTGTTCTCATGCACAAAATGGTTATCAGTGGCGGACGTGCACTGAGCCCCTTGGCTAACGTCCCAGACCAGTAGCTGTGTACGTGCATTGTTTTCTTTGGTTATCGTCTTAGCCCGGCACAGATGGCCAGTCCATCCCGTGCTATGATGCTCCAGGAGCCTTGAAATGTTACAACTTGCAACTCTCTCCGTGGGAGAAGGGCCAGTTCCCACTACGCAGAAAGCAGCTTTTATATATATTTTTTGTGCTGGTGGCTATAGGTCAATGGAGCAGCCAAACATGGCTGTACTCATGTCAAGACACCATCATAGTTCGTTTTTTCCTCCCCAAAACCCCAGTGCATGGTTGTATATTCTAGTTATAAGTCCTTCTAGTTCTTCTGTGTGAGCCACTGCCACAGCATGGCTACGGACAGATGAGTGGTGTGGTTCCACGCTCGGGAACTGAACCCGGGCCGCCGAAGCAGAGCACACGGAACTTTAAGCACTAGGCCATCAGGGCTGGCTCAGACCCTTCGTAGTTCTTGACAATGGCTTTGATTGACTGTTTCATCATGATTAGATTCAGGTTAAACAATTTTTGGCCAAGAATGTTAAGTAGATGATGTTGTGTGCTTCCCTTTGCATCCCATGTGAAGGCATATAATGTCAGTTTGTTCCATTATTAGTGATACTAAGTTTAATCACTCAGTTAAGGTGATGTCTGCCAGATCTCTCCACTGTCAAAATATTTTTTCACTTTTGTAGTTCTTTATTCAGTTCATTCGCATAGTCTCAGAATACCACTCTACAGATTACTTACTAATTATTTCCCCCATACCTGGAGTCTGTCATATCTCCTAGGAGTTCTGATTTTTTGCTGTTGTTTGTTTGTTTTGTTTTAGAGGGGAATAGTATTTATAAAGAAAGATCTAGATGTGCTCACTGCTGCTGGAATTTATTGGCTTTTAGACCCTTTCAGTGGACAGAACAAGAGGGAAAAATCGTGAGTTCACATTGATCCCTTTATTCCAAATCCAGTGCCACAGGGTTCTTCTTCACCTTCCCCCGTTCCATATTTGAATTTCATGTCTTCCATAATAGCATCAATATATTTATTAATTTGCTCTATCCTACAATAAAGGCAAAATAGTTTCAGAATTACTATTCCATTGATGCCACCAATGACAAATCTAAGTAACTTTCAAATTTTCTTTGTAGTTATTGGACTATATACCACTAAGGGTGTACAATCAGAATACTATGTTCAAAAGTGACTTGAGGGGCCAGCCCCATGGCCTAGTGGTTAAGTTTGGCACTCTCTGCTTTGGTGGCCTGGGTTCGGTTCCTGGGTGCAGACCTACACTACTCATCAGCAGCCACGCTGTGGTGGTGTCCCACATACAAACTAGAGGAAGATGGGCACAGATGTTAGCTCAGGGTGAATCTTCCTCATCAAAAAAAAAAAAAAAGTGACTTGAATAAAATTTTTGTCAGTATGGTTGTGTTATCAATTTGATATAATTAGGTTCATTTGTTTCATTAGTTTTTAATTTACTTCTTAAAAATACATAAACCATTTATGTGATTAAAAATGTTAAACTTTAAAAAAAAAAAAAGGAATGCTCAGAGAAATCTCATTAGTATCTCTATCCATTCCACCCACCCCCTAGAGGTAACTGTTATGGACTGAATTGTGTTCCCCAAAACTCAAGTGTTGAAGCCCTAACCCCTAATGTAACTATATTTGGAGACAGGGCTTTTAGAGAGGTAATTAAGGTTAAATGAGATCATAAGGGTGAGGCCCTAATCAGATAAGACTGGCGTCCTTATAAGAAGAGGAAGGGACACCAGAGCTCTCTCTCTCCCCCTATGCACATGCACAGAGAAAAGCCCATGTGAGGACACAGCAAGAAGGCAGCCATTTGCAAGCCAGGAAGAGATGCCTCATCAGAAACCAACTTTTCTGGCACCTGGATCTTAAACTTCTAACCTCCAGAACTGTGAGAAAATAAATTTCTGTAGTTTAAGCCACTCAGGCTGTGGTATTCTATGGCAGCCTTAGCAGATGAATACAATAACTATTAATCAGTATATTATTTATCCTCCCTGTGTTTCTTTTTGAGAAAATAAGCAAACATTTCCTTTTTTCTTACACAAAATGTAGCATACTATATACTCTTTTGCACTTAACAATATATTCTATAAATCACTCTATATCAGTCTATAGAAACATTCCTCATTCTTTTTTACAACTGCATTTCTTTATTGTATGTATTTACCACAGTTTGTCCAACTCTTGTTTCCAATATTTTACTACCACAAATAATGCCTGAATGAATAACATTATGTACATGTTGTTTGATGTTTTAAACACTTTGTGGAGGTGTCTACTTAGGGTAAATCCCTAGAAAAGGGATAGCAGAGTCAAAGGGTGCATGCATATGTAGTTTTGTTAGATAATGCCTAATAACTCTTTAGAGGAGTTGCCCCATTCTATATTTTCCCCAGCAATGTATGAGAGTGTGTTTTCCTCACTGCCTCACCAGCAGTGTGTTGCCAAGCTTTTGAATTTTTGCCAATCTGATAACGAGATGCTATTTCATTGTACTCTTAATTTACATTTCTTTTATCATTAGTGAAGTTGAGCATCTTGTCATATGTTTATGTGTCATTTATATCTTTTTCCCTGGATATCTTTTTTAAAATTATATTTCTAACCAGGGTGTAGCATATGCTTGATTTTTGTATGTTGATCTTATATCTAGATATATTATTAAGTTATTTTATTAAGGCTAATGTTTAGTCTGTCAATTCTTTTATGTAGAAAGCCCTAAAGGTGACAATCATATCATTTGTGAATAATAACAGTTTTGTCTCTTCCTTTTTGATCTTTATAAATTTCTTTTCCTGTATTAGTGTGCTAGTTAGGACAATGATAGAAGTTTGAATGGAAGAGACAATAGTGGTTTTGTCTTGTTCCTGATTTTAAAGAGAATGTTTTTGGGGCCGGCCCCGTGGCTTAGCGGTTAAGTGCGCACACTCCGCTACTGGTGGCCTGGGTTTGGATCCTGGGGCCGCACAGACGCACCGTTTCTCCAGCCATGCTGAGGCCGCGTCCCACATACAGCAACTAGAAGGATGTGCAACTGTGACATACAACTATCTGCTGGGGCTTTGGGGAAAAAAAGGAGGAGGATTGGCAATAGGTGTTAGCTCAGAGCCGGTCTTCCTCAGCAAAAAGAGGAGGATTAGCATGGATGTTAGCTCAGGGCTGATCTTCCTCGAAAAAAATAATAAATAAATAAAGAGAATGCTTTTAATGTTTTTCCACTAAAGATAATGTTTGTTATAGGCATTTTTAAAATAGCTTTTTATTAGATTAAAACTCTCTTGTTTTGCTGAGTTTTTTAAATCATAAATGAGTATTTAAATTTTATCAAATGTATCTTCTGTATCTATTGATATGATTGTTTTTTCTTTAATATGTTAATGTGGCAAATTACAATGATTTATTTTCTAATATTAAATCACATTTGTACACCTGGGTAAACCCAACTTAGTTATAATATGCTATCTTTTAAATACATTGTTGTATTTGGTTTGCTACTAACTTAATATTTTTGCACCTTTCTTCATGAGTATTATTACTCTATAATTTAATGTTCTTATACTGTCCTTGTCTGACTTTGGTATCAATATTTTATTAAGTTCACTAAATGAGTTGGAGTGGGAGCATCTTCTCTTTCACTATATTTTTTGTAAATTCTCTGGAAGAGTTGGAATAAGTTTAATATGAGTTATTCCTTGAATATCTTGTAGAACTGATCTGTAAAACCTTCTGGACCTTTTCCTTTTTTTTAATGGAAGAGTTTTTTAATACCAATCAAATTTATTTTTTATAGGAACATTCAGGCTTACTCTTCTTCAATCAGTTTTGGGAAGTTATAAACAAACAATGTATATTTAGATATCCCCACATGTTCACTAATTTCTTTGATCACCATCTTCTTGTCTTTTAGAACTTTTTCTAGGATTATTTTTCTTTTGAAGTATCATTTAGATTTTCCTTTTTTTTATTTTTTTTTTTTGAGGAAGATCAGCCCTGAGCTAACATCCATGGTAATCCTCCTCTTTTTGCTGAGGAAGACCGGCTGTGAGCTAATATCTATTGCCAATCCTCCTCCTTTTTTTCCCCAAAGCCGCAGCAGATAGTTGTATGTCACAGTTGCACATTCTTCTAGTTGCTGTATGTGGGACGCGGCCTCAGCGTGGCCGGAGAGGCGGTGTGTCGGTGCGCACCTGGGATCCGAACCCGGGTCGCCTGTAGCGGAGTGTGCACACTTAGCCGCTAAGCCACGGGGCTGGCCCTAGATTTTCCTTTAATGAAGATCAATTGGTAATAAACCGTGTGCTTTTGTTTATTTGAAAATGTCTTTATTTTGTCCTCGATCTTATAAAATGGTGTTACTGGGTATGTAATTCTAAGGTGACAGTTATTTTCTCTCAGCAGTTGAAGATATCATTCTGCTGTCTCCTGGCTTCCCTTGTGTGTTAGTAAGTCTGCTGTCAGTCTAGTTACTGTTTCTTTGTACGTAAGCTGATCTTTAATTTGTCTGATGTTATGGGTTGAATTATATTCCTCAAAAAGATATATTAAAGTCCTAACCCCCAGTATCTAAGAACGTGACCTTATTTTGAAATAGGGTAATTGCAGATATAATCAGTTAAGTTAAGGCTGTATTGGAGAAAGGTGGGCTCTTAATCCAATATAATTGGTGTCCTTATAAGAAGAGGGAAAGAGACACAGAGACACGAAGGGAGAATGCTATGTGATGATGGAGGCAGAGATTGAAGTGCTCCAACTGCAAGCCAAGGAATGATAAGGATAGCTGGCAAATCACCAGAAACTAGGAATAGTCAAGGAAGGATTCTTTCCTACCAGTTCAGAGGCATCATGCCCCTGCTGACACCTTGATTTTGGACTTATAGCCTCTAGAACTGTGAGACAATAAATTTCCGTTGTTTTAAGCTGCCCAGTTTGTGGCACTTTGTTACTGCAGCCCTAGGAAAGTAATACAATTTTAAAATGTGTTGTAAAAAAAAAAAAAGAGAGATGTGTTGTCTTTTACGTTCTCAGTTTTGCTACAATGTATCTAGGTTGAGTTTCTTTTGACCTATCCTGCTTAGTATACCCAGTGATTCTTGATCTGTGGATTTATGTCTTCCATTGGTTTGGAAACTTCTCACCTGTTCTATGAATATAAGCTCACCTCCATTCTCTCAGTTTTCCTTCTGGGACTCTAAATAGATTTAAATTAGGAAACTGCTTTTTCTATTCTCCTCGTCTTTAACCTGTCATATTTTCATCTCCTTGTCTCTCTGTGCTGCATTCTAGGTAGTTTCTGCGGCTGTATCTTCCACTTCATTTGTTCCTCAGATGCATCCAATGTGTCTATCAAGTTTTTAAATGTCAGTATTTTTTTTAGAAGTTTGTAGCGGAGATTGATTGTTACTTCCCAAAAGCCATTTTCTCCTTCTTATATTGCATAAAGAACGTCTTCATTTTAACTGGGTACATGACCATTCATGATAAAGGCTCTATTTCCAATTTGCCCTTGAGCAAGGAATGACCATGTACTAGGCTTTTACCATGGGATATAAGCAGAAGTGGTGTGCACAATTTTTAGGAAGTTTTCGTAAAGGTAAAGGCATGTCTTTTTCCTTCCGTTTTTTTCTCCCCTCCTTCTACTCCAAGAGAAGAGTATGCTTTCTCACACTATTATATTGGACCTGGCCATTGTAACTTGCTCTGGTTAATGAAATGTGAGCACACAGAACAAATGATACATCTGAGCAGAGGCTTCAAATGAGTTTCAGCGGCTTAGCCTCTGGTGTGCTTGCCTTCCATCAAAGCAAAAGTGACTACTACTATTATAGTCTGGGTCCTTGAATGGGAGACATGTGGAGCTGACTTGAATTTGACTTGCACCTAGAATACAGCAGTTGACTGCCCCTCCCTCCAGCTGTCAATTTCCAACTAAGTGAGAAATAAATATTTGTTGTTTGTAAGCCACTGAGTCTTTGAGGACAACTCCTTTATTTGGCTGCAAGCCAGCAATTTATTAAAAATTATTATTTCTTGTAATTTATTCATGATTTAGTTTCCACTGTTCAGCTATTATGAATAATGCTGCTGTAACATTCATATATAAATTTTTGTGGTTTTGTTTTGTTTTTTGCTGAGGAAGGTTAGCCCTGAGCTAACATCTGTTGCCAATCTTCCTCTTTTTGCTTGTGAAAGATTCACTCTGAGCTAACATCTGTGCTAGTCTTCCTCTATTTTGTATGTGGGTCACCACCACAGCATGGCTGCTGCTGAGTGGTGTAGGTCCACACCTGGAAACTGAACCCAGGCTGCTGAAGCGGAGCATGACGAACTTAACCACTAGGCCATGAGGCCGGCCCCTAAATTTTTGTGTTTTTGTGTGGACATATGTTTTAAATTCTCTTGAGTATATATCTAGGAGTGGAATTGCTGGGTCTTATGGTAAGTCTATGTTTACATTTTCAGGGACCTGCCAGACTGTTTTTCAAAGTGGCTATACCATTTTACAATCCCACCAGGGGTGTACAAGGATTCTGATTTCTCAACGTCTTCACTAACAGTTATTATTATATATCTTTTTTATTATAGCCATCCTAGTGGATGTGAAGTAGTATCTCAATGTGGTTTTGATTTGCATTTCCCTAATGACTAATGATATTGAACATGTTTTCATGTGCTTATTGGCTATTTGTATGTTCTTTGGAGAAATATCTATTCAAATCCTGTACCCATTTTTTAACGGGGTTGTCTTTTTATTGTTGAGTTTTAAGAGTTATTTATATATTCTTGATATAATATCAGATATGTGGTTTGCAAAATTTTTTCCTGTTCTGTGTGTGGTCCTTTCACTTTTCTGACAGTGTCTGAATTAGTCTACTAGGGCTGCCATAACAAAATACCACATACTGGATATGACCTCATTTAATCACCTCTTTAAAGGCTGTGTCTCCAAATACAGTCACATTGTGGGTTAGGGCTTCCACATATAAATTTTGGCAGAACACAATTCAGTCCAAAACACTCTGCCCTCTGGATATCCAAAATTCATTCCTTCTCATGTGCAAAATACATTAACCCCCATCCCAAAGTCTTAACTCATTCCAGTACCAACTCTAAGTCCAAAGTTTCACCTAAATGTCATCTAAATCAGGTATGGGTGAGACTTGAGTTATGATTCATCCTGAGGCAAAATTCCTCCCCAGCTGTGAGCCTGTGAAACCAGACAAGTTATGTGCTTTCAAAATACAGTGGTGAGACGGGCATGGATAGACCTTCCCATTCCAAAAGAGAGATATCAGAAAGAAGAAAGGGGCATGGGTCCAAAGCAAGTCCAAAATCTAGCAAGGCAAATTCCACTAGATTTTAAGGCTCAAGAATAATCCTTTTTTGGCTCAATGCTCTGCCCTCTGGGCCCCCTGGGGTGGCAGCATCATCCCCATGATCCTGAGTGGTGGCTCCGCCCCCTCAGCCCTGGGCAGCAGCTTCGTTCCTGAGGCACTGGTTGGTAGTAGCGTGGCCCACTGAAACTGAGGAGACAGCCTTGCCCCTCAGACCTGTACCCTCCAGCCCATGGTGGGAATGGCAGCCTTGCTGATCTCTGAATTGCTTTTGGTGTCATTTCTCCCTTTTCTTGAAGGATAATGTGAATTGGCAGCCGGATAGCTCTACTGTCCTGTCCTATAGAATTCCAGAAGTTGGACAGTCTTGCTTCACTTTGTTGCCTCTGTCCTCTTGAGTCCAAGCTGGCAGCTTCTGCTCGTATAATCCCATCTCTATTCCTGGCTACTTCTGAGCTAGCTGATTAAATCCATGAGTTGCACCCGTGATCTCTTTATTAAATATTTTCCAGTCACACCCTTGGTGTGCTCTTCAGAGCATACTTTTTCCATTTTTGTAATATGGATAGTAATTGGGTTCTGCACCCATTCCAGCATGTGGGGAGGGAGGTGGGTTTCCCCACATCATCAAGGAGCAATTCTCTGGACACCAACTGGGTGTCCTACAATTCAATTCTGACACTACACAGAGATAGCATCAGATCCCACAGATTAAGGGCTCAGTCCCACAAGACTACCATACTCTCCCTCCTTCAGACACCAATTGAAAGCCCAGGTTGTTACCGGTGCTTCTGACCAATGGGCTACACGTTGGAGGTTCCAACAACCCCCTCCAACTCAGGATGCCAATCGCAAGTCCAGGTTGTTACCTGTATTTCTGACCAGCTGGCTATAGATTAGAGGTTCCCGTGACGCACTACTTGGGTTCAAGCAGCTCACAAGACTCAGAGAAAAATTTTACTAACTAGATTACTGGTTTATTATAAAAAGATATAACTGAGGAACAGCTAGATGGAAGAGATGCATAGGGCAAGTTATGGGGAAAGGGCACAGAGCTCCCATACCCTCTCCAGAAGCACCACTTTCCCCACAACTCCATGTGTTCACCAACCCGGAAGTTCTCCAGACCCCATCCTTTTGGGTTTTACGGAGGTTTCATTACACAGTGATGATTGAATAAATCATGGGCCATTGGCGATTGATTCAACATCCAGCCCCTCTCCCCTCCCCAGAGGTCAGGAGGCAGGACTGAAACTGCCAACCCTCTATTCCTGGTTGGTTCCCCTGGCATCCAGCCCCCATCATTAGGTGCTTCCCCAAAGTCACTTCATTAACATAAACCCAGTTGTGGCAGAAAGGGGTTGTTATGAATAACAAGACACCCATTTCAACTTTACAGTTTTGAAGTGATTTCAGGCATTTAGGACAAGAGACCAAATGTTATGACAAAAGATGCTCCCATTGCTCTTATGGCTGAGGAAATTCCAAGGGTTTTAGGAGCCATAAGCCAAGAACCTTGGATTAAGACCAAATATATATGAGAAATACATTTTGGCCATCTGAATGGGCAAATATATATTTCTTATAAATCACAATACACAGATACGCTAAGAATTGTCCAAATTCTGGATTCTTTTTGCTTAACAGTTCCTTCAATTTATCTCTGTCCTCTTGCATTTTACTATAACTGATAAGAAGAAATCAGGCCACACCTTCCACTCTTTGCTTAGAAATCTCTGCAGCTAAATATCCAAGTTTATCCCTTTTAACTTCTACTTTCCACAAAACACTCGAACACAATTTGGCCAAGTTCATTGTCACTTTATAATAAGGGTCACTTTTCCTCCGGTTTCTAATAACATGCTCCTCATTTCTGTCTGTTACCAGAATCACTTTTAACATCCATATTTCTACCAACAATCTCTCTTAAAGGCAATCTAGGCTTTTTCTAATGTGCACCTCAAAACTTTTCCATCCCCTACTTATTACCCAGTTCTAAAGCCATTTCCACATTTTTTTAGGGAAATGTTACAACAGCACCCCACTTCTCAGTACCAAAATCTGTATTAGTCTGGTAGGGCTGCCATAACAATATTACAGATGGGTAGCTTAAAAAACAGAAATTTACTTCTCACAGTTCTGGAGGCTGGACATCCATGATCAAGTTGTTGTTGGCAGCTTTGGTCGGCTTGCAGATGGCCACCTACCATCCCCAGCCCCTGGCAACCATCCTTCTACCTTCTGTTTCTATGAATTTGGCTATTCCAAGTAGCTCCTATAAATGGAATCATATAATATACAGTCTTTTTGTGACCGGGTTATTTCACCTGGCATAATGTCTTCAAGGTTCATCCATGTTGTAGCATGCATCAGAATTTCCTTCCTTTTTAAGGCTGAATAATGTTATTGAACCAGGTTCATTTTGTCTGTCACATGAAAAACCAATGACCGAGATGACAAGTTTGCAGCAGAGAAAGGGTTTATTCACAAGGCAGCCAAGTGAGGAGATGGGAGAACAAATCTCAAATCTGCCTCCCCAAAAATGAGGACTAGGCATATTTATGGGAAAAGGTGCAGGGTGGTCTGAAATGTGGGAATGGATGATTGGAGATAAGGAGAAGCACAGTCAAGCTTCACGGCTCTTCATAGGATGCATGTTCACAAAATGGTGGCATTAACAGGATCTGGGGGTGGAGTTTTTGGCTCCCTGATGTCAGGAGTTCACCTATCAGACACCTGCACAGGCGCAGTTGGTGGGTTGGTGATCTTGACTGGCCCAAACAGGACAAGGGTCAACTCTTAGTTCCTGAAAAACAACTCAGGCATCTGTTACCATGGTGACCAAGTGTCAGGGAGATGTTATCTATGAGGAACCTAGTGGGAGTTGGATAATATATTGCCTGTCTACTTGTCTTTGAAACATAAGCAGCACAGCTAACAATGAACAGGTGAATAAATAAAGACTACAATTAATAATTGCCAAAAAAACTTTAGTTACTAGCTATCTAATCATTAATAACTGTCCACCAGTTTCAATAATACAAATAATAGTTTTTCCATTTTGATGAAGTCCAGTTTTTCTATTGTTTTCTTTTGTCACTTGTGCTTTCTTACATGAAACCATTGCCTAATCCAAGGTCACAAAGATTTACACCTATGTTTTCTCTGAGTATTATAGTTTTAGCATTTACATTTAGGCCTATGATCCATTTTGAATTAATTTTTGTATATGTGAATTAGGGGTCCAATTTCATTCTTTTTTTTTTTTTTTTTTTTTGTGAGGGAGATCAGCCCTGAGCTAACATCTGCCAATCCTCCTCTATTTTTATTATTTTTTTTGCTGAAGAAGACTGGCCCTGGGCTAACATCCATGCCCATCTTCCTCCACTTTATATTCGATGCTGCCACAGCATGGCTTGCCAAGCGGTGCGTCAGTGCGTGCCCAGGATCCAAACTGGCGAACCCCCGGCCGCTGCAATGAAGCGTGAGCACTTAACCACTTGCACCACCGGGCCGGCCCCCCAATTTCATTCTTTTGCATGTGGATATACAATTGTCCCAGCAGCTTTATTGAAAAAACTATTTCCCATTGAATCAATTGCCCATAAATGTATGGGTTATTTCTGAACTCTCAATTCTTTTCCACTGAGATATATGTCTATCATTATTCCAGTACCACACTATGTTGATTCCTGTAGTTTTGTAGTCAGTTTGAAAATTGGGAAGAATGAGTGTTTCAATTTTGTTCTTTTTCAAGATTGTCTTGGCTATTCTGAGTCCCTTGCATTTTCTTTCTTTTTTTTTTTTTTTAATTTTATTTATTTATTTTTACCCCAAAGCCCCAGTAGATAGTTGTATGTCATAGCTGCACATCCTTCTAGTTGCTGTATGTGGGACACGGCCTCAGCATGGCCGGAGAAGCGGTGCGTCGGCGTGCGCCCGGGATCCGAACCCGGGCCGCCAGTAGCAGAGCGCGCGCACTTAACCACTAAGCCACGGGGCCGGCCCCTCCCTTGCATTTTCATGTGAATTTTAGGATCAGCTTGTCAATTTCCACACACAAAAAAAGGCAGCTGAGATTTTGATAGGATTGCATAGAGTCTATAGAACAAAACAGGGGAGTACTGCCATTTTAATATTAAGTCTCTGCTACTATTTCTTGATGAACTACCTAGACAGATGATGATTTAGCTTCATTATAAACCCTGTACCTCGCTCATGTCTTCCTATCCTCTCAGTATAGCCTAATAATTCCTTGCTTCTCCATTGGTTAGTTTTCCTACTTCTAACAATACATTTCAACAACCATTTCTGGTTCTGCCAACTATACACACAATCTCTTGAATGCTTCTACCTTTACCTCTACCTTTCCTCCCTACATTCCACATCTAAAACTGTCAGCTATACTTTTACCTTTATATTGTCAACATTGATATAATTTATAAACTATGCTTTAACTATAGCAAGATTATCTATAATTTATTAATAGGTCAAGTCTAAAAGTTGAACGCCAGAAAACAGCATTTTCTAAGCTTTCTATCATAGTAATTAATTATTCAGTTGAATTCTCTCTTTTTCAGATTTCTCTCCCAGAACTCCTATCCTTCCATTCCAATCTGGCCTTGCTCTTGGGACTTTTCCTCACTGTTTTCCTGAATTAGATCTAATGATTCCTGGATATGATGTTGTCAGATACCTGTTTTCTACCTCATTTTCCTCAAGCACATCTTCAAGTAACTCTTTCAAAAAAGGGTACATAGGAGTTTAACTTAATGAGTCCCTGCATATCTGAAAATATTTTCATTCTGCTCTTTCACTTAATGATAATTCAGCTAGGTATAGAGGGTTTTTTTGAAAATTAAAAATTTTTTCTTAGAATTTGAAGTTCAAAAAACATTTCTCAGAAACTTGAAGGTCTTTGCCTGTTATCTTCTCATATCTAGTGTTGCTGTTAAGAATTCTAATGCTAGCCTGATTCTTGTTCTTTTATAGGTCACTTTTTTTTTTTCTCTTTGGAAATTTAGGACCTTCTCTTTATCTTTAGAGTTATAACATTTCACAAAGTTGTTTTTTCTTTGTTTTTGCTCTGCACTAGTGGATGCTTTCAGCTCTGGAAAATTTTCTTCCATTACTTTTAGGGTAATTTTCCATTATTTATTTACTTTATTTTCTCTTTCTTTTGTAATATTAGTCCTGTTGGATTAACTCTCTATTTCTCCTATATTTTCTCTTGCAATCTCCATCTCTTTGCATATTTCTTCTATTTTCTTTAAAATTTCATTGACTTTATGTTTCAACACTTCAAGTGAATTTATAATTTTAGCAATTTCTTATTTCTAATTTCAAGACCTACTTTTTATTTTTGGATTGCTAATTCATCTGAACATACTGTTCTTACTTCATAGATGTAATATAAGTCTGTAAGCATACTAATTAGTTCTTTTTTTCTTTTTCGGTGAGGACAATTAGCCCTGAGCTAACATCTACTGTCAATACTCCTCTTTTTGTTGAGGAAGATTGGCCCTGGGCTAACATCCGTGCCCATCTCCCTGTGGGATGCCTGCCATAGCATGGCTTGATAAGCAGTGCATGGGTCAGCAACCGGGATCTGAACCTGCAAACCCCGGCCCACCAAAGTGGAGCCCGCGAACCTAACCACTACACCACCCGGCTGGCCCCCAGTTATTTCTTTTTAAGTTCTCTGAAGTTTCTCTTGTTTCCTCTGTGGTCACATTTTCTTTTTATCCTCCCCCTCCCCAACAAATTGGAGACTTCCCTTAAATATCTAATAATCCTTCGTGTCTGTTCATATTTAAGATGAGGTAGTTGGAATACTGATTAGGAATCTTGTGAACTTGGGAGGGTCTTTTGAACTTGCACAACTTCACTCTAGGGTAAGTGGGTAGGAAACTGGCTATTGTGCCAGAATGAAGAATGCTTTACTCTGAGTCATTAAACGCGCAAATAGCTGCCCAAGTCCTCCCCAGAGATTATAGAACTCTTGACTTTTAGCTTGGGATAACTGCCTAGCTATTGTAGCTGAGATATACAGAGGGTTCTGCTGTTCTGTATAGAAACCTTTATTTAGTCTCCGTGTTTTCAGCCCTGCTTCTCACTCTTGCTCTCTCTCTTGTCTGTGTCTCCAAATTTCAGTCTCCCTAAATCATCTCTGGCAGAGAGGGCCCCTTCCTTGGCTTCAGCACCTCCTACACCTATTCCACACTATGGTTCCTTCCATTTTGTTTAGTCAGACTGCACTCACTTTCTGTGAGTAAAATTTAAAAATAAATTATCTTTTGGTGGCCCCCTTCCCATTTTCTATTTTGTATGAGTGTGCATCATTTTTTTTAATTATCATTTTATTTGGGGGTCTCAGGAAGAAAAGGCAATGAATGTATGTGCTCAGTTAGCCAGCTTTAATGAAAAAAATCCTAAATGTAGGTTAAAAAAAAAGATATCTGAGGCAGAGTAGGAAATAAGAAAAAACAACCAGTGGAATGGCAAAAAAAGAAAAATTCTGAGTCTGTGATATTGACAGTATTCCTGTGTATATATAACTTAGTGCATAGCATCTCAAACTCTCCAGATCTACACATTTTAGGGATATGATGGATCTCAGACATCTAGTTCACACCTCATTTTACAGTTAAGAAAAGTAGGACCGAGAAGCAAAGTGATTTCCCCAAGGTCGCATAAGTAGAGAGTGGCAGAATGAAAACCAGAAAGATATGACTTGCACTTTATTATTTTTTTTACCTCACCACTCTGCTGGGGAGTAACAGGACCGGCACATCAGCGGCCAGATGAGAAAGATCCTGAAAAACAGTCAAAGAGGGATGGCTTTTCCTGGGCCAATAGCTAGATGCCCAAGAAAATGAAATATTTCAGGTTGCTTATTTGGGAGCCATACAGTCAGTCTCCTTCTCTGGCAGCAGCCTAACAATTGGTAGCCATATGTTGAATGTGCTGAAGGGGGCGACTGTACAGCAGGAAGGGGACCTGCAAGAATCCAAGTGTGTGGTGATCCTGGGCAGGATGAAACAGTAGAATTTGGTGAAGAATGAATGTGAATACTGAGGAGAGACGGGAAAATGTTAGTAGGATTATGAGGGAGCGTAAACTGGTTAATTGCGGTGGTGGAAAGTAGGGGTAAAATGATGACTCAATTCCTTTCAAGGGCATTTTAAATTATTTCAATGAACACTGGAGCGCTGGGAATAAATACAATTCACATCACTATTCCTTTCTTGGTTTAGAGATAGCTTATCGACATCCTTAATGGATGCAGTTACCCTCTTTGCATGGTTCCGACAAAAGAAAACCCGACTGCGATTCAGCACAAGAGAACTGGCTTGCCTGAAACAAGGTACCAGTTGCCTGGTAGACTTGCCTAGCTGTGGTGAGGACTCAGTAAGACACTGTAGCACCGCATTTGGCACATCGCAGGTACTGAACGTGCACATTAATTTCCGCCCACGCTCTCCTCTCCTGCGACAATCACTACAGAAGAACGACGCACACTGGCGTGGTTCTTCCACGACGCCTGAATTCTTTCCTTAGGGCCGTGTGGACAGCCCCGAGTACCTCAGATCATATTACTAGCTTCCGCGGCCAAAGCTAAGGGTGGGGAAAAATCCAACTTCCCTGGACAAAGGGTGCCCACTGCGGCCGCGGGCGCGCAGCCGGGAATGTACTGACAGCCTTAGAGCTAGCCCCGACGGCGGCGGCGGCCCCGGGGTTTGTCTAACGGCCCCGGGAGGGAGGGGGTGGGGCAGCTCTAAGGTCTGGGAAAGCGACGACTCCGCTCTTCGGGCCTGGCCCGTCCACTTCCTACGGCAAGCAGAAGGAGACAAGCGCCGCCTTGCCTCGCTCCCACCTACCGCCTCTTCCCGAGCCGGCTGCGGCTCTCCCCTCCCGCGGCTCTCCCCTCCCGCGGCCTCAGGGGCCGCGTGTGTGTGGGGGGATGTGCGTGCGTCTGCCCCGTGCCCGTTACTCTGCTTCGGCGCGCGGCCACCGCCGGGACCCTGCGTCACCTCGCCGCTCTCCCCTAGGAGGCGCCGGATGCCAGCGGGCTGCCGAGCCGTACTCCCAGGAGGGTGCCAGAGACAGAGACGGCCCGGCCCGGAGGAGGCGGAGCTCGCGGCGCCTCGCGGCCGGGCCTGGGGGCGGTGCTAGGTGTCTCGCGCAGGGGGCGGGGCGCGGTGACGTCGGCGGGCGCCGGGGCCGTGCTGTGGCTGTGGTGGTGGGGGCGGCGGCGGCGCCCGGGCGGTAGCAGCAGCCGCGCTGAGGAGGGTGAGACGGCTGCGGTGGCGGCAGCTCGGAAGTCGGGTGGGCCCTAGAGCTTCCCGCCTTCGCAGGCGCTGAGGCTTTTGCCTTTTCTTCGCCTGCCTCTCCCTCACGGCCCTGGGTAGGGCAGGGCAGCGCGCCCCCGGGCAGGGGCGGAGCTGTAGGTGAGGCTTCGGGACCCCCTCCCCCTCCGCTCCCTGCCGGGGGGATGGGGAAGTCCGGGAGGGGCGGGCCCCACCCCAGCCCACCGGGGGGCTCCACCCGGCCGGGCTCCGGGTTTGGACGGGAGCTGTGGCGATAGATGTGGGGAACCCGGGGCGGGAGGTGGGAGACGGGGGCTCTGGGCGCTCGGAGAACCGAGCGGGGAAGGTTTATGAGGCGTGATGTTGCGGGCGAGGTAGTGGCGAGATGGAGGAATTGGGGAGCCATGAGGAGGTTGGGGTGCGGTCAGGGTAGATCTGGGTTTAGGTGATTGATGTAAAATGTTGAAAGAGGTGAGGATTCTTTTTTTTTTTTTTCCCTCTGTGTAAATGGTAAGATAGGAGGTGAAGGGTTGTATTTCAAAAAGGTGAGCTGTGGATGTTGCCTTTGAGGCATTTGGAGAAGCGATTGCACTCGGTCTGACATTTCTACTTTAGGGTTTTGGTTATTTTTCTTTTTATCATCCTGGCGGGGGGTGGGTGGGTGAGTCCCGGGGGGAGGAGAATCTCTCTGTTTTTGGCTCGGAGTGGGTAAATTATGAGCGTGGATGGATTTGAAGTTTTAGACCCTTCAAGAAGAGTGATATCTTGGGTTGACAACTTCATTCTGGCAGCAACATAAAGGAATAGGTCCCGTTACACTTAGTTCCTTAAAGGTGTTATCTTCCAGTCTTTTTTCTGTACCTGAAAGGTCTCTTTATACCATCTCTTCTACTAGCTTTATTCTGGTCCCTTACGAGAAGGCCTGAGAATCAAGTGGTTGCTTTGGAAGACACATTTCTGAGTAATAGTTGCAGGTGGTTGTGGTTGACTGCTTTGGATAGATAAATGAACAATTTGAACAGTTCTGTCGAAGCCAATTATATGAAAAATGCTTAAATGTTTTAAAGCACTGCTGTCTTTTACAGCTTGTTTTTCAATAGACCTGATGTTAGACATTTTAAGTCTTCAGCACTTAATTATTTGAGATTATTTTTATTTCTCAATTGCAGATGTCTTTATTAGACACTTTAAAAATGAAGTGGAATAATTTTTTTTTTTTTTTCTGGTAGACCTCTCAATTTCTGAGAAGTGTTCTTGGAGTCAAGGGCTTTTAAAATGCTCTTTAATAACATTTTTGGGGGCATGTGTCTGTCACTTCATAGGGAGATGTTACTACAGTAAACAGTGTTCAGTGTTCTTCACATCAGTGTTTCACAACTTAGCACATCAAATCAGAATCTTCTTTTCTGGACTCCTGCTCCCTATTAGGTTATACTATCTAATAATCACTGACCTTACCTATCAGTGTCATTTGAGCTATTTCTTGCTTAGAAAACAGGTCATGTAATGAACATGTATTATGTAATGGATGGAAGTAGGCATGACTCTCAATAATTCATTTATGGAGGAAGAGAAACCGTCATGAAATGGAATTTAAGCAGTGACTTTCCCAAGGCTTACTCAATTTATTTGGGAACATAGCCAGAGAAGTGCTTTCCTGTCACCCAAGAGAGAAATATACAGATGTGAGTGTCAGTAGTTGCAGATCATTGCCTTTTTTAACATGCCTACTTAATGAGCAGATTATTATCTTCTAGCAAATACTTCTGCTTGAAGAGACTTATAGGAAGCAGATGATGTAATAGCTATTAAGTGAGAAAGGGTGTGGTCCAATTTGTAATTATAAATAAAAGATTTAATTAGCTGTATTCAGACAGATCAAATTATAAGTTGCTACAATGAATAGTTTTGATTTGGGATTACTTTGATGGAAAAATTAAAGTTCATATGTCTAGTTTTGACTTTTAAATTTTACTGTGATTTAATTGGGTACACGAGACAAATTCGAACTAAGATACTGGGTGAAACTTGGTGCATATATTGCTAAAATGACATTTGCATGGCTGACTGTGGGATGTTATTCTTCTTGTAGGAATGAAATATATGATTTGAGGGAAAGTGTAAGGTAGAAGTGATCTATTTCTCTTTAGAATTTCTTATACCTAAAAAACCCGCTACTTTTTATTTTTCAAGAAATGTCACTTTTTAGTCGTTACTCTGATATCCTTGTTGAGTCTACTGAGGTGTTCCTTTTTTTAAATTACTAAATTAAGATAAATATGTCAGTCTGTTAATTCAACATTAATACTGAAAACAATTGAAGCTTCAAGGGCCGGCCCCGTGGCTTAGTGGTTAAGTGCTCGCGCTCCGATGCTGGCGGCCTGGGTTTGGATCCCGGGCGCGCACCGACGCACCGCTTCTCTGGCCATGCTGAGGCCGCGTCCCACATACAGCAACTAGAAGGATGTGCAACTATGACATACAACTATCTACTGGGGCTTTGGGGGAACAATAAATAAATAAAATTATAAAAAAAAAAAAAAAAAACAATTGAAGCTTCTAGCAACAACTGCTCCTCCTCTACGATATGTTTATGCTTTTAGAACTAGTATAAGAGCTGTTAAATGTGTGTTTTACACATAGTGTATCAAAAATATTGATGGAGAAAGACCAGGAATGAAGTATTTTGGTTAATCAAATAATAACCAGTACATTGATTATCAATTTTAAGAGAAATATAATGTAATAAAGTAAACTTAGCATAAAGGTTATGTGGAATATGATTTTTTTTCTATGGCTCTTCAACATCTGAGCCTTAGGGCATTGATTCATTCATTTATTCATTCAACAGTAATTTATTATGGTTCCAAGTACTTTTTTAGACATTGGGGATACAGTAGTGAACAAAGTTGACAAAAATCCCCACCTTCATGGAACTTACCTTCTAGATACCTCTGGGGAAGTGAAGAGGAACCCAGCAAAGGAGAATGACAGGGGTCATTGAGTTAGCAGGAAAACCAGGGGCGTGTGATGTACTAGAAGTGAAGGAAAGGAAGTTTCAAGGAGGAGGGAATGATCAACTGTGTCATTGTTTAAAGATGTGTCGGAGTGTTGGGTAAGAGAGAATTCTGCTTGATTATAATGTCTAGTAACAGAGAAATGACTAAATGCTTTTCAGTGGGAGATGAGACAAATGTAAGAATCTTTCAGTTTTTTACTTCCCTGGAGTGATTTTTAAAAATATATTTCATTCTTTATTCTTTTCAGAACAAAATAGGCAGCCTGGGAATGTTTACTAGTATTAAGGAGAGATATGACTTGGTTGTTATTAATGTTATGTATACTTATTTTTTTAAAATCAGAAGATGTAAAAGAGTACACAGGGAAAAGTAAGTCTCTCCTGTCCCATCCAGTTATTCTTGAAGGCAGTCATTGTTTTCAATTTCTTGTTTTTCTTAACCAGTGAAATTTTTGCAATAATATGGTATTTAGCTATTTTAAAATGCCTAAATATAACAAGTATTTTATCTTCTAGGTATTTTTTTTGCATCTTTAATATTTGTTTTCATAATTTAATTCTAGCTACCTGTAGGTGTTTTGTTTTTGTTTTATAACAGCTTTATTGAGAGATAATTCACATACCATAAAATTCACCCATTTAAAGTGTACAATTCAGTTTTTTTGGTGCAACCATTGCCACAATCAATTTTAGAAAATTTTCATTGCCCCAAAAAGAGCCCCAAACCCATTAGCAGTTACTCCCCTGACCTTTGGTTTTTAAGTTTTGTTTTGCATATTGTGTGGGAAAAATGTTTGTGAAATACTTTTGTTACCAACTAAATGGCAATGAAGCCATTTAATGTGTACTATTAATATTCTCTCATTGAATTGAAGCATAAGTTTTTGTAAAAGTCAAATTAGATAATGTTTTATTTGGTTGAGTGAATAGTTGTGAAATGATTTAATTATCTAACCATCTTCTTTTTATTTTTCCTTCATTTATTAAGTAATTTTGAGTACCTTTTGTGTTCCAAGTTTTGGGCTAGGCCAGATGGAGTCCATGATAAATAAGGGACAGGGTCTCTTATTCTTAAGGAGTTTCATTCTAGTGGGAGAAGAGGAAAAGTTAACAGGAGTTTGTGGTCTGCGGTGATAAGTGCTTTAATAGGTAACATACAGCATTCTGCATCAGCTCATAGGATAGATCCCTAAACTGGATTGTGGGAAGATCTAAGATGAGATCTTAAGGATAAGCAGGATTTGGCCAAATGAAAAGGATGCAAGCAGAGGAAACAGCATGTGCAGAACCCAAAGGCAAGAAAGCTGTAGGGCAAATTGAGTGATCTGAAAATAGTTTGGTCTGGCTGGAATGTTGAGTGCTAGCATGAGGTGTTGGTCTCACTCCTCCTTTTTGTTAAAAAGTGTGCCTTAAAAAGGCAAAATAATTACATTATTAATGTGCTTACACTCTCTACAGATTGCTGTCACTTCCTAGCAGTATAACTTTGAGTAAGTTACTTTATTGTCTAAAACTCAGTTTATTCTCATTTTAAGGATGAGGAAGTTATAGTCCCACTTCATGTGATTGTTCTGAAGAATAAATGAGATAATACTCATAAAGCTTTTAATAAAGTCCTTAGACTATAGTAATAACTCAATAAAAATCAGCTGCACTGATGATGACAATAGGGTGATAGTGATGGTGATTATGATGTTGGTGATGATGATGCCTGATGTATGGAATTCCTTAGGATGTTATGGAGCCCCAGAGAGTTCTCAGGAGACTGGAGGATGACACCTGTCATTTTAATTTTTTTCTGGGAGGAAGGAAGTGAGTACTAAAAACCTTAGACCAGCACTGTCCGATAGAAGTTTCTGTGATGGTAGAAATGTTCTCAATCGTCACCATCCAATACAGTAGCCACTAGTCACATGTGCCTATTGAACACTTGAAATGTGGGTGGTGTGACTGAGTAACTGGATTGTTAATTTTACTAAAATTAATTTAGGGGCTGGCCTGGTGGCGCAAGTAGTTAAGTGCGCGCGCTCTGCTGCGGCAGCCCCGGGGTTTGCTGGTTTGGATCCCGGGCACTGCTTGGCAAGCCATGCTCTGGCGGCGTCCCATATAAAGTGGAGGAACA